TCCGCTAGCGTTCTGAGGTGGATATCGATAGGTTGATCAGGCCTAAATCCGGGGACAGGTTCTTAACCACTTGCTGAGGTTAAAAAAATGTAACATATTCGCAAGGTGCTAATCTCGTTATCGGTAATAGATATGATAGTTGGCAGGTGGCCTGCTCTTCCAGAGAGGAGGCGACAGCTGAGAACTAAAGGAGGCTTCGAGGGTGTACTGGGGAACAAAGAAGTAACCGTTCAACCAAGTATATTGAAATACTGTCTGTCGAAGTCTGCCTTTTCTATCGTAGAAACAGGCGGTCTTTAAATACACAAATCTGTTCATGTCTAGCATGAACGAAACTAATCAAAGGTATCAATCTATACAGTTTGGTAAAACTCCTTAAGTATCAAAGCGATACTTAAAATAAAACATAAAACAAAACCAAGTATCAAATGATACTTAAAACAAACCAAGTATCAAACGATACTTAAAACAAAACATAAAACAAAACCAAGTATCAAACAATACTTAAAACAAACCAAGTATCAAACGATACTTAAAACAAAACATAAAACAAAACCAAGTATCAAACAATACTTAAAACAAACCAAGTATCAAACGATACTTAAAACAAAATATAAAACAAAACCAAGTATCAAACGATACTTAAAACAAACCATGTATCAAACGATACTTAAAACAAAACATAAAACAAAACCAATAACCAAGTACCCGTACCGGTTACAGTATGAGTTTCTTCATTCATTGAATGATAAGATGCGTATCAAGTATCATCATATTGCTCTTATATCGGACAACTTCCCCTCCTATCCGCCACCAGGAAAACTACCAATCAATTATACTGAGCCAACTTCTCCAATTCTCACCAATATTACACTTATCTTTCTTCCTCCTTGCAAAACAGCATATCTGCAGCCACTGGATATGGGAAAAATTAAGGTTTTTAATACAGCCTACCGATGCCAGTATGCAGAATATATGGTAGAGAGGTTTAATGACTTTGGCAAAACCCCCGAAAAAATCAATATCTTAAAAGCAATCCCCCCTACTGCTGTAACTTGGAATAGTATTACCCAGGAAACAATTCAAAACTACTGGAGGAAGGCAGGTATTACTGGACTTACAGCAGTAATAGCTTCAGTTCTATCACCATTATTCTTAACAGAAGTAGACTATATTGCAGAGCAGCAGTCAGCTTGCTTGAGTACTTTTCGAACACTACGAGAACCAGGAAATCCTGACCACCAAAAATTTGATGAGTACTTCGAAGACTACTTTACAGAGAACAATCATACTGAGTCAGCTGCTGGCAAACCAGTGACTGAGTCATTACTACTCATTCAACTTCCAGATTTGGCTGAAATCATTGAGCAAGAGATCAGAAATGGGCTTTTTGAAAGACCCACTATTGAGCTTAATGGAAGCTTTCTTTCCTCAGAGACCACTGATAATACCAGTGGAGATGATGCCTCCAATTGCCAACCCTCTACTTCTCTACCACCACCAGTTATCTCCACTGCAACCGCTATTCAGTACATTACTGAACTTCACAGTTTTTACCAATCTCTTCCAGTCATCCATCTACCAAATCCGGATCCTAAGATACCTAAACTTGTAGTATTAAAACTGACTGGTCAGGCAGAAAAAATAAAGAAGTATCTTATCAAGTTCAATTCCCACTCATTTAATTTTTCAGTTACTTAATTGATTTTTAGGTATCAGACAGGTTGGGAAACAAAGCAATCAACCCTTTCACAGTATTTTCATCCCTCTCTCTAACGTCCCATAACCCACTCCCGATCGGCCTTGCCTTCTTCTGATAGGTCCAGGCAACTACGAGAGGTTTCCTTGGATTTGGAATCCGAGAATGGAGAGGAAATCCTTGGCTGTAAGGACATTGCTGGTTGGGAGGATGATAGTGAGAACTCGGATGAGGAAGAACATCTTACCTGTGTGCCTACATTGTGGACCACAGGTGGCATCAATCATGCCTTTCAGCAGCTATGATGTGAGATTTTAGGGTTAGATTGGGATGAAATCCGGGACACTGAATCTACTTTGTATGTGAACATGGGTAACAAATATCTAAATTTGCATCCGGTCCAAAAACCCTCAAAATCCGGGGCAGTGAAGGGTATTTATATGTAGCTAGCACAAATCTTGAAAAATTGTCCGTGACAACGAATAATCCGGGAGAGTGAGGTCCGGGACAACGGGGTGCGACTGTACAGTACTCGTACCGTAGATATGGTATCCCAAAACTTCTGAGATATCATCTCCAAAGAAACGTGCAACCTAGACAGGCATACGGAAACCGGTGATATCGACAAACAACACAGCGGATGTCAGTCAACATGGGGCAACAGAACGGAACCAAGGTGTCAAAGGAGACTCTTTATCTATTATACCCTCGTCCGAGAAGTTTTACTGTTATCTTTCGGGTTCGCGAGCTGTTCTCCCTCCTCGGATCGCTGTGCTTGTATGAGTGGACTAGTGGTCACATTTTTAGCAATATGATACCTTTTTAGGCTAAGTAAATTTACAGCAGTGTGAGGAAATCGCACAAGAGCCGCAGTGATCTCGTGCATCTCCACCAGCCCTAGAGTATAACCCTAACCTCGGCTAAAACAGGGAACCATGATATTATGATAGTTTGTCGATCACAGAAGGCAGTCTACTCGAGTATGTACAGTACTTTACTGGTATTGCGTTCCACGATGTATCATACCGTACTCGAGTACTTACTTGAATACCGATACTATTATAGCACACAAGGACACAGTAAGTATCATTCCACTCGGCTGAGCAGTGCCTTGAATCCCTCTGCTCCCATGACGCTCACGCACCAACATTCGGAGCGGGAGATTGGGCCTCGTACCGCTCTACTCCAAAATTGCTCGAATACGAGAGAAATGTGTCAAGCTGGGAAGTCGTAAGGCTCCCTCCTTCTTCCCTTCTTCCATTCACTCACATCAACTAAGATGGGGTTTGAGGTACCGGTAGTCTAAGGTAGCATCTTTACGCCTATCCGAGGGGGGGTGGGGAATCTCAACCACCTGTCGTGACACTTTTCCCTCGTATTCGAGAGCTTGCGCCAAGCGCACGTATCGTACCGGAACTCCGCGATTTGAGAGTGCGGGTGTGGCGGTGAACTAGCTGTCCGTGAGCGGGTACGATATTCTAGAACCTTACCATAATCGCATTAATTACTTTCTGTGCCCCCCCACCCCACCCCGATCGCACTCTGGCACGGACGGGCCTGGGGCACGCAAAGAACAAGCAAATCCTATCATATCATACCGGTTAACCCGACCGGCCACGACCCTTGCAGGCACCAATGCACAACTACTCGTCGTCTACGAGTACTAGGGGTAGGGGGAAAGTATTGGGACGAGCAGGGGGGTTCTATGTCTGTGCAAATTACTCAAATTAGTATCTTCAATCCCACTTCAAGTAATTCACAGAGACATCAAGCCCCCCTGCTTGTCCCAATACTTCACCCCCACCCCGAGTATGAGTCACTTGTCAGCCTCACATCTAACACAACCGCATCACTAACAAGTATCATACAAGTACCGAGTACTTTACACAACTTCTCCCTCTCCTCCCTCCCGACCAAAACATCACCCATCCACCCAACCGCCCAAAAAACCAAGCTTTACGAGTACCACACACCATACAAAAATATAAAAATATAAAATAAATAAAAATGTCCTCCCCACCGCCAACCATCCCCCTCCCACCACCGCCCTCGGAGAACCCCGCTAGCGCCTGGACACTCTACAGCTGGTTGAAACTTCTCCTCTTCCTAGCGGGCGGGGCGGTGGCGTTGCCCGTGTTTGTCGCGGTGTCGTTCATCTTTGTGGTCTCTTATTTGACGTCGTATCGAGGGTGACGATTCGGGGGTTCGGGTTTTGCGTTTTTGCGGTGTCGATTAGGTGGTGGGGATAACCTCATTTGCCCTGGGGAGAGGGGTTGGGGTTACAGGTTGCTTTTTCTTATTGGGTTGTGTCCTAGTGTATGATGGAGCTGTGTGATGACGACAGTTTCCGGTGACTATCACGGTCGGATCTGTAGATTTTCGTATACTATACGGTTCCTCGGTACAATGACTGGGGTGGGGTGCGTGAGATGCTCGCAATAACAACAATCTATATCTATACATCCCATTTTTCGTCTACTTGCGAATACCAGGTACAGTAACTGGTAAGGTATAGTACTCGTAGAGGCTGCGACAAAAAACCACTAGATTAGTAAACCACAACTCCGTATTTGGAAAAAGCCCGGAATGGGTGGGTCAAATTGGTTTGGACTATCCCGGTGTTGCCGCATCGTACTAAGTACAAGTATCACACTTACCTGTATATGGCTACGGCAGTATCCCTAAAACGGTAGTACCGGTACCGGTAATGCCGGCTTCGCGTTCGTTTATATAGGTGGTATGACGAGGGGTGCAGTAGGGCGACTGTGGCACAGCAATCTACCGTACTGTCCTGCGCGATTGGCGATACGCTGCCCATACCCCCCCATGTCATGAGCTGTGGACTCAGATGTCCGATCTGATCTGGTTTTGTTTGGTGGGTTAGGATTCACGGTCAATGATTCCTTGTGCGGAAACCCCCCACTCTCGCAGTGAAAGGGGGGGTCGGGATCGTGGATAGGGGAGAAAGGGGTTCGAGTGATTATATGTGCAAATGTTTCGGGGACAAAAGATCGAGTTAGAGAGGTGCTATATTAATGTATCTAAACTCCGAAGAGAAGCTAGGGGATAACTATGTACGATGCAATCTATCTATCCATCCATCCAGCAGCGCCTTCACCCATCTATGCTTTCCCAAACCCAAAACAGCCAAAACAACCAAGACAAAAACAACCAAAACCCAGATATGTGGTGACAATACAAAAGATACAATAGAGTAGAAAATAGGAAAAAAAAACATAAAGAAAATATAACACTTTCAGCCCCCGCCCCTCACCCTCCTTGCGTACCCAGTGGTTAGTGTTTACTCCACCACGATCCCAAAAAACCTCAAATACTCCAAAAGATACTCGGTAAGCCCTAGCCTGGCTAACTCATCCGCAATCCCCCAGGAATTTCTCCTCCCTGCCTGGAAGTCTTTCTGAAAGACCTTCGCCACTTCCTCCAGATCCGGCCTCGTCGTCTTCTCCACTACCACGGCACCCCCAGCACTCATCTCCTTCAAGCTATCCTCGAACACGATCCAAACATCCGCCTCAGGCCTCCACTCGCGCATCCGCACGCACTCTGCCAAATGCCGCTTGTCAACTTTACCGACGTTCCCGCACTGCGGACAGACGCTCGGCGCATTGGCGAATATCGAGTTGGATAGGTACATTCCCAGCACTTTGTAGAAACCATTAATGCCCACTTGCGCGATAGTGGACGAGACGGTGGGCTCGGTGACTATTTGCTCTGTGGTGATGCGCAGGTATTCTTGTTGCCTCCGGATGAAGGTTTCGAGTTCCGCCCGCGGAACGGAAGAGGAGGCGAGGCGGCGGGTCATGGCGGCGGTGTTTTCGGAGAGCACCCGCAGACGGTAGGCGCTCCATTGCGGGTATAACACCGATAAGTCGGTGTAGGGTCGCACGTTCGTTAGGAAGGAGATGTCCCAGAGACCGACGGCTTTCGCTCGGTAGGAGGTTACTAGTGTTATTCGGTCTGGGGAGTTTTTGGCCATTAGAGCCAGGTGCTTGAGTGAGCCACCTTGGAGGACGGCAGCAGAGCCGGTTCCGGGCTGGGAAATCTATCCGAGAGGTTAGTAAGGTAGGTGGGGTTATGGAGGGGTGGGACTTACACCAAAGAAGGTGCCGTCGCCGCGTTGGATTACTGTTTCTCCGCCGACCATGTTTGTGGTGTCTGAGAGCATTACGACGCAGACGAATGGGTAACTGTCATAACTGTCGATTCCTCCGTTAGCAAATATGTTCAATCCTTTCAATATCACCTTCGAAAAACTCACTGCCAAGGCACAATCAACCCCTCCCCCCCCACTTCTTTCGAAATCTCCTCTTCACTTCTCTTCTCAACCTCAACCCTGGCAACGCTGCCCCCAACTTTACCAAACTTCCCACCAGTAAGCTCCCGCGCAACACTATTCAGCATCTCACCCCTCTCCAACCCCCCATACTTCTGCATATCAACCTGCACATTAGCATGGCCGATCTCTATAGTCTCCATCACAATCTCCAACTCTACACCCGCGGCGAGGCTCACAGCTCTCATCACGTCAGGGTGGGTCCAGATGTCCTTGAAGAACTGGGAGTGCGCGGCCGTGTTGCGCACGATGAGGTTGTGGTTACTGTAGGGCGAGGCAGTTTTGTCGAGGTAGTCTGGGTTCAGTAGGGCTTTGCGTAATAGCGGGATTGCCGCCTGGGAAAAGAGTGGGAACGGAGCAGAGCCAGCGACCGGTGAGGCGGCGCCAGCGGGGCGGGGGAGAGAGAGGTCCTTGAAGGTGATCTGTGCTGGTGGGGTGGCCGAGATGTTTAAGTGCTTCTGTTGGGATAGCATTGGTTGTTAGTATTTTATTCATTCGTTTGTCTAGGGAATGGAATGGGATGGGTTTGGAGGTGTTTGCGCGGGAAGTGCAAACCGTGATGTTTAGAAGGGTGGGAGGCATTGTGTCCAGAGGATGATAGGAAAGTTTTGGGAGAGTTCGATCTGTACGGATTGGAAGGCCAGTAGTGGTGTATGAGGGGTGAAGAGGGAGAAAGATGGAGATAACGAAGGAAAGGAGGAGGTGGTGGTGGTGCCAGTGAAGGAAATTTATAGACAGGATGTGGATAAAATAAGTGGAATCAAGGGCGAGCAAGAAGAACTCGGAGAAAAAGTTCAAGGCCTGATGGGTATGGTATCCAAAATCTACAGTCCCCATTCCTCCTTCCCCACGAGGTCTTGAGAAAGTTTCAAGGAAAGAAAAAAGAAAAAATAACCCCTACCTCTGGATTAAACTTTGTTTCTGGAACCTCATGCCCCCCACAGATCCCGGTGGAGCTATGATTGCTGAATATACAGGGCGCTCTCATAGCTAATTGTATAACAGATACGTTTTCCAAAGAGTGCGAGGTGGGAATTGTCTTAACAGAAGCAGTGATAGTCTGCTGAAGGGCGAAGGTAATGTTTGCTTGTTTGCTCTGTAGGTAGATAGGTAGTGTTGTTGATATGTGTGATATCTGAATTGTTTGTGCTGAATATCTGTTGAGACCCATATGATATAATGTTATTATATATTCTGCACCGCTCCCTCCGCCCTCCCTCCACCAACCCATCAGTGCCCAAACGGCTGGGCCGGAAGTGATCCCAGGCTATTATGACATACCATACCTACACCGTCCACTTTCGGTGTCCCCGAAACAATAGAAGCCCAGGACGTGGATCTGGTACTACGGCGCAAACAGCACTGGCGCCCTACCATAACATCCAAATGCAGATACAAACCCTAGTGAGGCGGTGCTCCTGCACTGTCATAATGGTGGTCGCTATTGCTCATCGAAAAAAGATTTGAATGACCACTTCCAAAAGGAGCCCGCACTGTTCTGTACGTATGCGCTCTGCTATTGTATCTCTGCATTGGAATGATTATCGACATTATTACGATTATTATTATCCCATCTGTGCCACGACAGGGTATATGAGGTCTCAGACGCCCAATGGTGGATGGGCAGAATTAATTGCTATGCCATGTCGGAGCTATTAGACACCCCCCGCGCGTAGGGTGATTGGTTGGCTCGTCCGGATTGCAAGTACCGCTGTTTTACAATTCGTCTCCTCAGCTTTATTCCAGGAGCAAGAGCTGGTGAAGCTTCCATCCACCCTTCCTTCCTTCCGGCGCTGTCCGCCTTCTGTATTGTGCGGTGGGCCGCCTGTTTCACTCCTCGGTGTTTGTTTCGAGTAAGCCCGGCGTTGAGCTGGACCTACCAACCCGCTCTCGTGAAATAGTTGAGATTGGCCAGCCAGGATCTCAAAATGGACTTCAGCTCAAAAGTAAATATACCATTATACTGAACTAGTGATATTTGGGGGTTTTTTTTTTCCCTCTTTCCTTTTCTTTCAACCAGCACCGCGAGCTGCTACTGTTCATCATGGTTCATTCGTGCATAGCTCCCGCCCATGTCATCTGGTCTCAGGCTGTGCTACGAATATTCTATAAATTTCATCATGTGTAACACCATCTGCCAGCCTCACCCGGGACACCAAGGTTAGGTGTCTCGGTAGGAGATGCACGTGTGAATAATAATCATCTTTTTTCGTCTCTTTTGAATGCAGGAAGAGCTAGGCAAGGCATGATAGGGGTGGCCGGAGGTTCGGAGTGCATCCTTCCCTGCGTTTACGTATCACCATGGTTGGATGAGGAGAATAGGTTCTGGTTAATCGGGTGAATTTGTCTTCGCTTTTGTGATGGCTAACAATTGTTGTCAATTAAGAGGAGAGAAGTTCTAGGAAGTTTTATTCACATGCCTAAGCCTTTCTTCCCTTTTCTTTCCAGTGCTAAAGAATATGCTCTCTTTCATGGGGAAGCATTGGGTTGGATTGGACGTTGTCAAACATCTCGGGTTAAGGTTAGGCCGAGTCCGTTGGGCGCAGCGGTTTTTGGCGCGCATTGAATTAGACGCCGCTAAGTTTCTTGCACTCGTACCGCACAATACTCGTAGAGTTCTGGACCCCTCGAGCCTGACATGAATATCCTCACGAATACGAGAATGCATAAATTGTCAGGACGAGTTCCTAAAAGTCACCATATCGGTTTGAGGCTCTCAAACGGCGAGGACGCTGTGCCTCGCAGACCGGGGTTCTGCCATCCGCTGAGCGCCGGTGCTGCTGCATTCCGCGTTGACTCAGGCGTTAAGTTGAGGCTCTTGCCCAATCGCCTAAGGGCGAACTCTGCCGCATCGTGCTATGCTACCTGTACTGTACCGTACTGTACCGGTATTATAGGCAGCTTTTTTGAGAGAGAGAGACAGCAGCATTCATTTCTCCCGCACCAGTAGGAGGAACACAATAATGTAAGTTTCCTCGTAATTCCAAAAAGCTTACGGTTTCAAGAGCTTGCTCCTCTTCCCGCATGGAGCCCAAGACTCACCCACAAGGAGAAAGGGGGAGAAAATTCACATCCTAAGGAAACAAAATCATAAAACGCAACCCTTCTACAGTACACTTCTCGAGTACCGGTTCTTGGCAAATTACAAAGTATTCGGACGCATCGGTGCCAAGACAGGTACTAATCAACTCTATGATGTCCGAATACTTTATAAATTTTCGAGCAAAATACTGCATGACATTGTGTACTGTACAGTACCTTTAATGCTTGCGTCACTACACTGTCCCTACTCGAGTACTGTGCGTCCCATCCGCTCGCTTGCTGGGCCACCTGAGCCACCTGGGCTTGCTTACAATCCTAGATTTCAGTAAGTTTCGTGAATGATGCCCAAGGCATGGGCACCAATCAGCAATAGCTATGCTGGCACAGGCTCATCGGGGCGTGAGTAGGTGAACGGAATTTACTGCTCATCACCGATAGGATAGGCAATCTCGGGCTGGCTGGAAAGGTCACGTACTCGAGTATCATACCGGTACCCCATACGTACAGTACTGTACCAGTAAGTCATCGCTACCGCTGGGGAAGAACACTGCTAGCTGCTTGGTGCAGATCTGTCTCCCTTGTGGCGTTTAGTCGTTTAGTCGTGTGCTGATACTACCCGATTGCTCGAGTAGTAAGTAGTACCGCATACCACTAAGTTAGCACCGGTAAGTCCTGTGCCACTAAGCGATAGGAGCATGAATCGGGTTCCGGATTGCCGGGGTTGCAGCGTGGAATAACTAATGCGGGTTTTTTTTAACGAGATGGCTCATTCTTCGGAAATGTGTGCGGTGAGGGTGCAGCCCTTCCAGTTGCTCGCTAGAGCGATAGCTCCACCTGCTGAACAAAAGCTGGCTCTCATCCATCTTGTCCGATTTTTCCCAAAGAATTATACTCTTAGGATCCCCCATTCGTGGCAATTCCACGCAATTCAGGATCCAGTTGAGCACCTTGCGACTTTTGAGAAAGGTCCATTTTTTCTTCCGCCAACACCCCAAAGCTTACCCACCTCACCCAATCGCACGCCTTTCGTAGATACGCGACAGAGCCCCTGAATCGAGCAACAGTTACGGTATTCCCGCAACAATGATTGGATTGCTCCTGGAGAACCACTCAACCGTGTTCACCATCTCACCATCGGAGGCGGCCGACTGCTGAGGCCCAAATCCCGGGAAGTGATGCTCCACGCACAGAAAACTCAGTCCCATCTGACTGAATTTTTCAGCTTACTCTGCAGCGAAGGGCAAGGAACTCAATTCCGAGGCATCGTGTCCTTCCACCCACCCTCCCTCTCACAACCACGCGACTCCGAAATACCAATTCACAGGTTATCGTTTGCTTTTCAGCCCCCAAGAATCATACTATCATACCAATAGTTCTAGAGAAACTCACTTAGCCACCGCCTTTGTCTGACGCATCTAAAGATAGCTTGGCGGTGAGGGTTAGGGTTGTCTTTCTCTCGCCCAAACTTCTCCTTTTCTCCGCAAGAAGCAGAGTGGGCCTGTGTGATGTGATGTGATGTGATGTGGAGCTTGCGGACTGACGATGGCTGTGTTGGTGTTTATTTGTAATGTTTGATTTGATAAGGGTTCGAGAGGAAATGAGGCTATTTTAGATGGAGAGGAACGTACGAGATGTGTTGTGTATAGGCCTAGAACCCGGATATAGCCCAGCACGAGGATAGGAGACTTTGGTCCTCTGTGGCACCGTACTGGCTCCGTACTATGTCTACCTAGTCGCGCGATACTCAGTTGTACGATGAGGCTTCGGTG